AAACACTAAGGATACGTCATGAGGGCGAACATTGTGGTATTGGGTTTTCGATTCCGGTTTTTGAACCAGTTGGCTGGCCCCTAGGGGGAGCTGTACATATGTTTATATCATGGTGCTTGTGTATATAAAAAAGGAGTTCCTGCTTGGCTACGTACGTATTGTAAGCCGGCGCTTCAGCGCCAGTGCCCTGTGTTCTCTGTGCGGCGGACGCCTCTGTGCTGCGCGTCCACCGCACGATACTACATTTTGGGACGAGGATCTTCAATCCACATGCATCAGGCGTCAAGTTGGGCATACAGCCTTCTTCCTTGCGCTGTCGACTCAGCACCCGTGCAAGCCGTCCCACCGCCACCGTATTTCCTGTATATATTCCTACTTTTTGACACTTTTCGTGCCAGTCTGGTGGTCACGAGGCCTACCGACGTGCGCCTCTCTCCTGAACTGCCTTCTTTACGCTCTCTTCGGCAAGTATTAGCGCGGCTATCCCTCCGCCTCCGTTCTTTCAATGCCTTGGTGTACCGCCTATTCCATGGAGGCAGTGGTGTCCTGTGTTACAGGTCTACATCAACGCCGCGGCCAGGGATGCCACGCCGGAGCACAAGAAGGCGCTGCTCCAGAACACCTTGGGCGTCGAGGGACTTGGCACCTATTTGCGTGCCGCCGAAAATGATCCGGGAGCAGTCTGGCCAACTCAGGAGACGATGCCGAACGTGTTCGACGCAGCCCTTGCGCTGCTGAATGAACTCTTTGACCCTCAACCGCACACGGCGTGTCTGGGCGCTCACTTCAATGCCCTTTGTGAGGACCCAGACCAGTCAGCAGTAGAATTTATACAGAATGTACGCCGAAAAGCCATGCTTTGTGAATTCGGCACGGCGGGTGATATCCTCATTGTCTCACCTACAAAGAACTTTTTTCAAGATGGGCAAGGACTTCACACTACAGAAGCTGCTCGACATCGCGAGAGAAGAGGAGCGCGTCGACCACTCATTGTTACAGTTATCTGGAGCGCAAGTCGACGCAGTGTCGTCGCGTTCCGATTCAAGATGGCGGCTCTGCTCGTTGAGCGATTCAAGATGCCAGGCCGAATGACGGCTATCTTCTCCAAGCTTCGGTGCAAGATGGCACCGGCGAGACTTGTCCCGCGTGCGCCCCCTCGCCCTTCGCTGCTGCGGACACCTCCTCTCCAGCTTCGCCACCGGCTCGCGCGGGTGCCTGCCACCACTGCGGGTCGACGCGGCATTGGGCCAACTCAGCCGCACGCCCTGCCAGGAGCCGAACGTTGCGGATGTCATGGACACTTCGCGTGGGTCTGTTGCACTACTATGGAGTCGACCAGTCATCAAGGCACATCGACGGTGACCAATACAGTTTCTGTCTTGCAAGTGGTTACGACGATCCCGGCCCAGACTGAGAGTGTGCTCACTGGGGCTGCACCCGTTGGCGTCCCAGCTGATCGTGTTCTTGATGCGCCTGCTCCTGCCGTGTTGCCTGCAGTTGGGCATACCCGGACTATACATACTTCGACTGGGAGTACTTCTACTGCGAGGATGGCTGTTCCAGTAGCGCCCGCTGCTGCTGACCATACTGTACCCACTTCGGTCTTATCTGTCCATACTTCGCTTGTGCCTGCTACTCGCATTCTGCCTGCTGCTACTTCCACTCTGGCTGTACTTCTTCCGACTGATGATGATCTCCAGGATATTATGTCTGATTGCCGTTCACCGGAGGTGCACCTGCTGAGCGTGGCAGCCGAGATTCCAGAGTCAGTTCCGAATTAGCGTGCAGCGGAGGTGCTTCCGCTGGTTGAGTCTTCGCCGGGTCGTGCCCGTTCCTGTTCTGTGCACGGTGCCTGCATCGGTGGCGTTGAGCCGTGTCCTGTCTAAGACAGCTTCAGAGCACGCTTGTTCTGGCCCCTACTGTGCCGGAAGTGCATTGGAAGGACAGAACATGGGCTAATTTTTTCGCACCACCGGACTGCTGTGGGAGGCGACAGTGCCTGTCTTGGAAATGGCAGCACTACAGGCATCGACGCCGTAGACTTAAGTGAGACAGTGACTATGCTGACATCCTCTCTCGGAGGAGGGGATGATGGCATGGTGTGCAGCGTGTGCTTTCTAGCGTGTGCTTTGTATTTCTGCATATGCTGTAGAATTCCTTGTTAACTTTTATGTTTATAGCATACATTTTTATTCTTATTTTGTCTTGTTACGTGTCAGGACCCCTGCATGCTGTTAATTTCAAGGGGGCGGGGGATGATGTGGTATCGGAGTTTCGGTTCTGGTTTTGGAACCTGTTGGCTGGACCTAGAGGGCACTGTACATATGTATATATCGAAGGGGTGGACACAGTATGCAGTGCGTGTGTAGAGGAAGAAGAAACTGCCGAACACTTGATAATGTTCTGTAAAGGGCTTCACTCTATAGTTCCGTATGATGGCGCAGAGTTTTTCAAAGCATTAGGGTTTAGGGACAGGGAGGGCAAAATAGACTTTAAGTGGGTAGAATTAACTAGAAGGAGGTTATCTGATTGGTGGCTAAAGTCAAGGCACGAGTGGAAATTAAACCCTTCACTGCAAAGTACGAATACTCAACCTCACTAATTAAAGGGAAAAAAAAATAAATCTAGTTTTTGGTTCATTAGGTATGACTGCTTGGTGGCGCTGGCCACCGCCCGATCTAAAGGGTACAGCCATATCTATCTATCCATCGATCCATCCATCGTGGTGCTTGTGTATGTAAAAAAAGAGTTCCTGCTTGGCTACTGGCTGCTGCGTACGTCTTGTCGGCCGGTGCTTCAGAACCGTGCCTTGTGTTCTCAGTGTGGCGGGTCCGCCGCACGATGCTACACACATCTCGAAGGCCATGCTTTTCAGGCTCACATGCCCATTGCATGCCACTGTGCGCTTACAAACAGGAAGGGAATGCGAACATTGTAACGAGATCGCTGAGTGGCTTTGAACTTTCATTTTGGTGTCCTCGGCAATGAGTCTTTTTGAAAATCGTTACGCTTGCCTGTTACGACCTGCAGATCACGCATTGAACATACTGGTGCACTCACAAGCACCGCGCAACGAATCAGATCAGCGCGATAGAATAACACCGCCTTTTCATCACCTGCGCACCGAAGAGGGATTCGGAACTTGTTGGAATGCGGTCAGAAATTGATCAATAGTTGCTAGGAAAAATGCACTTCCAGGACTTGAGCGCAGCACAGCATTCGATATAGCGTGCGTCCCGCTGTGCCGGAGTTTGATACACGGGTGCACCGGTCCCATACTTCTGCAAGGGAAATTCGTGGAGATTTTGCCAAATATTTGTTATAGCCAATAGTGCGATATATCCAAGTTTGACATATCCAAGATTGACTATATAATAATATATATATATATTACACTTCTTGGCGGGAGTGCTGATATAAAAAAAAAATACTGGATGTAGAACAATCTGCTTCGACTGGTTTTGGTTTCTCCCTCTGTTTTCCCAGCCTTCTCAGTATCCGAGGGGCAAGGGGTAGCCTGCTGTCTTGACTATGCCCATTTCGGCACTAGTAACACAATGTCAGCAATTATGTTATCGGCACACACAGCCAATGACTGAGCAAATCTTCCTCCATATGTCGCTTGTGCCATAGTGAAGCATAGTAAATGCCTGGCCAAAGTACATCACTGCAAGCTCAGTGTGCCATTTTGTAGTGCAGAGAACCAATCGACGAAGTCGGTGCGATGCGGTGTTGTCCGCATGCAAAATTACTTCTCTCACATATGAGGGGTATTGGACAGATACTAGAGTGGGGCAAGAGAATGGTTTCTTGAAATGGACGTCCGCAAGATGAGCAGCATGCGATATTCATAAAATGGAATGGCTGCGGGTATCTGCATGAATTGGCAAGGTTTTTGGGGAGATTAAAAGAAACGCCAGGCCTGCGTGGAAGGTCCAGCACAGTAACAGTGAAAGCTAGAAGAGCAGCCTTTCGGAGCCTTTTTGAAATACCCACTGAGTAACTACTGCAAGCACACTTGCTTGATACTCACTAGGGCATTAATAATAAACCTTTGGGTAGTAGGACGGAATTCGCTATGCTATTTTTCGTCATTCTTCTGAGAAGCGTGGTATCCTCTAAACACTTGCAAGGTATTCCCTGCCAATTGTTCATGCAGTGGCTGACGACGATGAGGAATTATGGCTGAAGTGGGTATGCGCCACAGTTAATAGGGGAGCAAGAACAAGTTTTTGTAATGGGTTGTAGCATTGGACAGCCCACTCGTTATGCTATTCGCATTGTGCGACAACCGTTTGTTATTTCGCTGTTTTATAACGCTTTATAAGCTGTAATAACGTGATTGCTTTCCCGACATCAAGCCTGCCTAAGGCAAGTTTGCCAACAAGTCCCAAGCACCGGCGTGGCTCAGTGGTAGAATAAAGGGCTGGCACCCAGCGGACCCAGGTTCGAGCCCCACGGAGTCATTGACGCTAGTACTTTTTTCTAATTTCGTGAGATGTGGTTACGAACACCGGCGGAGGCGGTGTTTGTACCAAAAGGTTTATTATTAATGCCCTAGTGAGTATCAAGCAAGTGTCCTTGCAGTAGTTACTCAGTGGGTATTTAAAAAAGGTTCCGAAAGGCTGCTCTTCTAGCTTTCACTGTTACTGTTACCACCGCCGTCATATTAACTTTTAATATTGACTTTTAAGTTAATATTTGTCATAATAACTTTTATTATGACAAATATTGACTTTTAAGTTAGTATTTGTCATAATAACTTTTATTATGACAAAGTTAATTGCCCACTCTACTAGCTTTATTATATTGAGGCTTAAGTGTATGTCCTTTATACATATAGAATAGGGATTTTCCAGCCACTGCATTTCAAGCAAAGAATAGGGATGCTTACATATTTGAGTGTAACTGTACCCTGCCTGCTGTTCCCGCACACAGACATATATATATACACAGAGAATGTGTGCGTGTACTGAGTGTTGTTTTTTTCTTTTGTGCAGGTGTATATACTCAGTCTGCTGGAGAGTCCCAAGTTTGAACACTTCAAGCCAGTCTTGGATGCTTACATCAAGGGACACTTTGCAGCAGCCCTCGTCTACAAGTGAGCCTGCCTGCCTTCACTTCTTGGTTTTGCTTGCGGTCGCTCATTCTTCGTTGTTCAGCAGGTCCACTTACAGGGCATGATGCTGCAAAGGGTGGCACTGCATGACAAGGATTCTGAAAATGATGCACCATTTGCAACCACACCAGTGTCCTTAGCTGCAAGCACTATACAGTACTTTAGAAAGAATACATCTATTGCACTGGTTCCAAGAGTTGTCAGTTTTTAGGGGTGGACATTGGACATTTTTAGAGCAAATCGGGGGGGGGGGGGTGGCACAGGGGGGTGAAGGGGTGCGAGATATTAAGTTTAGGAACTTCAAAGTTTTCAAGCGCTCTGTTTTCAACGCAAACAGGCATTCCATTTATGGTAGCACATTTCTTGAACTATGACACACATATAAAAAGAAGTAAGTGCACTTGTGTTGTAGCACTGGCACTGGAGTACGTGATCCTTGAAACTACTAAGTCGCCTGTTTACATAACCAGATGGTGGTAGTTTGTTCGTTGGTGCTGCGCACACATAGTTGCTATTTACTGCTTCCTCAAGCAGGCATTTCATGGGGTCAGTCAGAGCAGTGGGCAGCCTTTCCATCACTTTGTAAGCTGTGGGGAGCACCTCATGACCTGATCACATGAGATTTAACTTTTACACCACAGTATTACACACAAGCATGTCACGAACAAGGTGCTCCTGTGTCTTGCCTAATTCCGTGTTCTGTGCTTTTCAGGGGCCTGCTGCGATGCGTGGCACATTGTGCGGAGCTGGCCAGCGATCCCGGAGATGAGGCCGCCTCTGTGGAGCACTGCTTCGCGTCACTCGAGGCAGTCATGCAGTTTGTGGTGCAATCGCGCCTCCTGCTCAGCCGTGCGACCGGCACCGACCCGAGTGATGGCTTCTGGGCTGACCTGCAGCCCATGTTGGCAGCGTGTGAGCGCATGCTCGCAGTGGGGGCCTCGGGCCTTCCCACCCTGGCACAGGTGAGCATTCCTTAATTGTAACATACTGTGTCTCATCTCAGGGTCAAAGTAGTTGGCTCCTCTTGAAAAGCTGCATGGAAGGTCGGCGTCTAGTGTCTGACTTGCACTGGTATCATAAACAACACGAAGGCCTTCTCCTACATCAATTCACTGTATCAACACAAAGTTAGGTGGGAGTACAGCTGAAACTTGATAGAACGAAGCACTTAACATTTTGTAACTTCTTGTCTATAGAACACCATGCATTTGTGACCTCGATAAAGTAGAGTCTTGCTACAGTGAACTTCATAGGGTTGCCGAATTCAATTCATTAACCTGAAATATATTAGTACTGAAAGATAATTACAGTAAAGGTTCGTTAACTCAGATCTCACGGGACTGGTGAAAATGTCTTGGTTAACCCAATTTCGGATTATAAAATGAACCATCAAAACAAAAGGAAAATGTACGCAGCACAGACAAACCTTTATTTCATAAAAAACTGCGTCAACTTTGTCTGCCTCATCATCGGAATTTGTGCTAGAATGAACTTCCCAATCATTGGTGGTGGTGTGCCCAATCTGGTGGTGGTGTGCACGCTTGCTGTCGCAAAAACTGATGCAGAACTCCTCGAGGACAGCGAGGGCATCTGCGGCCTTCTGCACAGTGCGATTTTGCATCGGTTCATCTTGAATGTCATCTTCAGAACAGTGATTCTGATCCTCTTCAAGAACTTCATCAGTCAGCAAACCAGCAATGGCCACACCATCATCAACGTGCACAAACACAGCCCAACAACGTAACAACGGTTTCTATGTCAAAACGCCAACTCGCCCAACAGTCAACTCTTTTGATGTACCCAAGCAGCGCACGCTATGCGTGAGGTCACATTGCAAAGAAATCAGCAGCGTAGGCGTCGCGAGCAACTGGAGTCGACGCCATGTGCGGCACATTTCGCAGATACTGGGTGCACCGGCAGCCCAATCGCTTCTGCCGGGTGGTGACTAGCACCACCTGGCCACTTCCCCTCTCATTCACTATCATCATGATCATATTCTGCTGCTCTTCGTTCAGTTTTGGTTTCTTGAAAACTTCTGTTCTGCCGTCGGTTACTGCGGTGGAGCCGGGACTCCATGCTTTCAGTAACCGCAATCGGTTACTTAAAGCATGGAGCCCCGATAGCCCTCTCTAGACTCATCTGAGTTAACCGGTGCGCATCTAAATCCCTCCGAATGAACAAGCACTTGACACCATTGAAATATACACAGTTTTGCCGGGACCGGGCCACGTGTCCAAGTTAACCGAATTTCCGAGTTAACGAGATCCAAATAAAGAAGCTTTTACTGTATTTTAATGTTACTAATGCATAACTGCCATGTCTCCTGGATTTTCAGGAAGACTGTCAGACTCTGACCATTTCGGTAGGTTGTATGCTTGAAATCATAATTTATGTGCAATATCTGGCAACATTGACAGCAGTATAATGCAATCCAGGCTTTTTGTGAACCTATCACCCATTGCATAATGTCAAAGTAGTAGGGAAGCCCTTTCTGAGTGGTTTATTTGGTCACTCTAAGCCATTATAAGACCTTAGTGCTGCCATTTATCTTACAGGGCAGGCACTGGTTGATGATTCAGCGAGTGAATGCCATTTGCTGACTTTTTACAGTAGCACTAGTCTCTAACTAGACCTTCCGTCGCTCTCGATGTGAGCCCTGCTGCTTTGTGGTTGCATCGTCACTGTGCAGGCCTAGTATCAGTCATAGCCGTAAGCCAAGATATGGTGTACTGCCATGGGGTAGTGTGTGTCATCTGGCGCCGAAAATGTGGCTCTTTTTTGCGATGACGACCAGCGATGCTGGGGCACATCGTACCACTGTCGCCACCTGTCGCCACCTCTGAACTAATTTATGACAAGCTGAGGTAAAAAGCCTCCGAGATTGGTGGTTGTAGTTGCAACGCCGATCGTGTGTGTGTGAGGAAAACTAGGGGAGACTCGTCGACTGCTGCCGTCTGTTTTCCACAATGTGTGAGCGAATTCTTGCATATGCGTGAGAGACTCGATGTTCACGGAAGCCTGATGCATGGAAGTTCTCGCAGATGCACAGGAATTCCGGGCTCATTAATATAGATCATGTAACCCCCACCATGAATGCATTGTGTACCTGTTTGACGAGTAAATTGTCTAAAGAAATGGAGCGGTATTCGTTAAGCGTTCTACTTTTTTTCTATTGAAAACCATCCTACTACTCTTCTGGCTCATCCAGGTGAGGGGGGTCGTAGAACTCACCTGATGAGTACGTTGTCCTTGGACAATCTCGTTTGTTTCGTCGCATGACTTCAAGTTAGTGTGATAGTTAAGCAGGGGTACATATGCATAGAATGAATAGCGATGTTTTTTTGTATATGCCTTCTGTGTTCAAAATATTAAGGCTGCAGACGATCCAGGTCGCTGTTCTGTGATAGGAAGAGTACAAGCTCGGACAGCGCAGGAGCAGCTTTATTTATCTCGCTAATGCATGAAAATGTTTTAGATGTGTTGAAATCTTGCAAATACTTTTAAAATTTTCAAATATTTTCGTTATTATTGATTAATGTGGCAATTTTTCCAAAGAACTGCACAAAATTTTACAATGCAAATTTAAATCACGCACGCCGGGCACACCTTTCGATCGTGGTGTCCTGCTGGTGACGTCATTGCAAATGCGACCAGGGCATTACCGCCCTATTCTAGTATATCATAACCAGAGATCTCAAATGCTTGGCTTGCCTTGTGGACATTTGACTTGTGGCTTGCAGCTTCACGAGGAATAAGCTGCATGTGACATCACTAAATGGCATTAGCATTGTTCACTCGCCTCTTGCAATTAATGACTAGAGCTGTGCAAATAGCAAAAGTTTATGCGTGAAGGGAATTTGAATGTTTTTGGACTACTACTGGAATATTTTTCAAATACTTTGAAGCTAAATTGCAGAATTAAGTTGTGAAGGATTCTTAAAGTGCCCTGCAAAATTTCTTGAGAATGGTCAGAAAATGCTGCCGATTGGTAGTAGAGGCTCCCGACAACACGCAAGCCAAATATTATAGAGCAGCACGTGGCCTGGAATTGACAATAAATTATCAAAGTCAGCTAAAACTAGTTTTCTTTTCTGTCGACAAATCACGGAAAATAAGCCCAGTAAGCCCATCTACGGTATTTATTCGCATAATCCTCGCACTTTTTTTGGCGGAAAACCGATGCAAAGTTGGGGGGTGCTAGAATTCCGCATGGAAAACTTTCCATGAAAACGTACAGAGCGAAAAAGAAAACGAAGTAGCCACAAATCGGGATTCTCACACCAGCAACTAACAGCAAGCTTTGAGAAGTACTAATTAAAACTACCTCAACAATAAAAGCACAGATTTAACACAAGGCAAGATTTATTTGAGACACAAAAAGTGCAAGCAAATAGTCGAGAATTGGAATACCATACGCAAAGCTTGTGGGTGTTGCGGGCGTGGCAGTAGCGTTCGTTGCTCAACAGGAGCCCTCAAAAGGTAAGCGTAGGACATAAGTATTAAGCTGATAACTATTTAGCAGAATCGTTCGCAGTTTCTTTCTGAAGAATAAAGTTTTCCATAAATCTCAGTTTTAGGCACATGGCAGGCCCAACGCGTCTTGATGGCTTTCAGCTGCCGCCACCAGTAGCGAACACAAAATTCGTATGCTCCGAAAGGCCTACCGGCGGCCCTGTTGCGATTGTTTAGATCATGATCTATCACTTTCAACTTGAAAGCAGTTGTGTAGTTTCAGTATCTCCCCATAACGTGACAAGATTACCGACACAACATACAAAACGCGCCGAAACGCGCACTTGCCACTTTGGCTTGGCTTAGATTGGATTGAATCTCCGTGCAATAATAGTACGCTTGATGCTTAAGGGGGGAGGCTACCCTGGAGACCGAACTTTTTTATTTTTTAAGATATCTGGATGAAACTTTCAGGGGTTGTTCACTACATTAAAACTAGCACAACTGCTAAGTTTCACGAAGCTGTGTTTCTTAGTTCCAGAGTTATTGAGGTTTAACTGGGTGCTTCACATGGGTGCCTGAGGAAGAGTCGTGAGAAATCCCAGGACATAGTAGAAAGCTGAAATTCATTGTGGTCATTCCTTGATAGCTATCCCAGGGCCCTACAAAGCCGTTTTTTTTAATTTCCCCCCCCAAAAATTTTCACGCAACTTTGAATTTCATGTAACCAGTAATGACCAGATTCATCAAAAAATAATCGTTTATTATAAATTAACAGCACCAATTTTCAAAAAAAGGAGCTTGTTACGCCCTTGCAAGGTCATTCAGGAATAGAATAAAAAAAACGGCACACAAATCTGATGAACGGTTTTCGAGTTCTTGCTTTCCTCAGCACCAAAACTAGCAAAAAAAATCCGTTCTGAGAAAACAGGCCGAGAAAGTTCAAAACACGTGTTTTCTTCAAAAAGCTCCAGCACAGTAGCTAGAAGTGTCCTGGCGCACTCTTTTCTTCTTTTTCCTGGCCTCCATCTTCTCTTGGTATCTTTTAGAATTCTTTTTTAGGCGTAAAGCGTCTTTTTCACGAGCTCGCTGGATGGCCAGATGACCTGGTTGAAGTCCAATGGAGTCCGATATCACTTGGGTTGCTTTGCAGCAGCCGGCATTGTAGCGCAGCACTGCTTCATGCAGTGCTGTTTCTACCGCGATCAAGGATGAGTGTTGTTCCTTCGGCATCAGAGACCACAGAATGGAGTGGAATGATTCTGATGCATTTTGCGTCTTCGCTCCCAGGCAGCGCTGAAGAAGCGACTTTTGTGACAGTCTTTCGTAGATGGGCAGCATAGCTGCAGCGACATGGTCCGGTAGGCTGTGTTTATGTTTTGGCTGTGGCTCACGCTTTGCCTCTGCAGCTCTATGGGGGCACCACGATTGAGCCCCCTCTGGGCAAAGTTAATGGTGAGGGTCCTGGTCAGTCGATGTGACGTAGTGATATGTTGCCATCACTGCACGC